TCTTTATTGTATTAAACTTTGATTCTATCAGAGTGTATGTGTCGATTTTCAAGGATTTTTCTCCTATTTTTTGTTTTGTTTGTTGGTTGCCTTTTTTTCCTATATTTTTCATTTAAAAATAAAAATTTTTTCAACACTTTTTTCTTCAAGTCATTTTATGAATTTTCCAATCAAAATGAATGAAATCATTTAAAGGACACTAAAAATCGTACATTTTTTATTTTTATCAATTTAAAATTGTAAATGTATAGTGTTGCATATTATGTATGTATGTAAGAATGTTTAAAATGTGTCTGGATTTTATTTTATTAGAATATAGAGGAAATTTATTTGAGAATCTTATAGTGTTTTTTATATAATAATAAAATATAGTTAATAGAATAAATTTAATAAATTTTTAGGCGATTTTTAAAAAAATTTAATAAGTAGGAAATTAAATAAAAGACAATAAACCTTAAGCTAATGTGATCCAGTCAGTGATACCCTCATAAAGAAAGTTTTCCAAAAGTTATTACTGTTATTACGAAAGCTGACAAAAGGCATATTTTTCTATAATTTAGTATAATTACAGGAATTTTGTTTATAATTCCTTCGGCCACCTCATTGTATCGTAATCTTCCTAATACGAATCGAAGAAATTAGTGAAATGTAAAGCAGTATAAGTCAACTAATTGCATCCTGATTATGAACCAAATATTTCAAATTATACTTTTTTAATAAAACATTCTTTAGCAAAATTTCTCATACTCATTTTTTTTAAAAAATATGGAAATTCTTTCAAATAAAATTTTTTAATCAACACACAAAATTCAATGTAAACTCTTCTGTTTAACTCATAATTCACAATTTAGGCCATTCACAATATTTTTTTATTATCGAATACTCGGTATTTATGTGGATTTACTACGAGTTCCGAGGAAACGAGGAAAGAAGAAAAACTTTTCTAATTTATATTACAAGCTTTTAAAAGAATTTCAATAAAATAATAATTTTTTTTTTCAAAATAAATGAGGAGCGTATCAGAAACGACAATGTAAAAGAAAATTTATTTCCCTTCCCGGAAAAAAAATTAGATATTGTTAAAAAAAAAAAAATTATTGTCAAAAAATATTAAAAAAATTCTAATTTATTACCAAAAATAATAAAAGAAAAAATTTTTGGAAGAAATTATTAAAAATTGTTACGTTTCATATAGGAAAAAAGAAAGGCTTGAATGAAGAGGGCACAAGCAACTCTATACATAAAAGTATTCTATGCATTTTATAAGAAAATTGTACATAGGGCGTTATAAAATTGATTTATTCAAATATTCAATAAAATTTAGTTTATTTGGTGTTATTTGCATTCAAGTGTTAGGGTAGCAGAATGAAAATTAATTTCATTATAAATTGAAAATTGAATTGATTCATTAATTCAGAAAATTTATTACTGAATTATTAAATTTTAAACAAATAGTGTTGACCCACTAAACCGAACATATATGTCTTCCTGATAAGATTTTGAGTTTTTAGGAGTCTCGTATTTAAGATTTTTAAAGCCGATGTTGTCAACAAAATCAGCCAAATTATTATAAGAATTAAAAATTTAAAATCTTTTTAATAATAATCAGAAATTAAATAATTTTCTTAAATTTAATATTAAACAAAAGCAAAAAAGTACTTACCAAATATATTTTTCAGTAGTTCCCAAAATTTTTAAAAATTCACCTCAGAATTTTAATTGTACACAAATGATTTACAAAATATTTCCGAATTTTAAGTCATGATTAATTTTTTGAAAATTCATAGGTTCTTTCAGCTTTTTCGAGTAATTCATAAAGTGGAATTGAATAATTTTGTTTCACATGATCACTTCCCTCTTTCTTTTGAAATAAACCACATTCTTCTAGAAATTTTGGACGCTCAATTTCCGGATTTTTTATTAAATAATTAATTAATTCTTCTGTTGATTTTAAATGTGTTATTCCATTAAATAAATAAGAATAATTTAATAATTCTTCTGGACAATAAGGTTCAATAGTTTTATCAATAAATTTTGGTACCCATACTCTATCACAATTTGGAATTGTTCTACCGAATGCATGTTTTATAACATTTTTTGATATTTTTAATTTTCTTTCCAATAATTTTTTATAAAATTGATTTTTTATTGACATCTAAAATTAGAAAAAATTAATATTACAAAAATATTTGAACAGGGGCCGAATTTGATTTTCGTGAAATTATTTTCGTATTTGTAGAAATGGAAAGGTAGTACCATAAAAAATTTTTTGATACTACTTTACCATTTTTCCGAGTACAAAAATCGTTTCATGAAAATTGAATTTTATGGCAAAGCTACAGGTCTCCCTTTTTGAATCAAACTTTTTGATTATTACAAAAAGTGGCTCCTTAGAATTGGGGTAAATACCTGAGGCATATTCCAAGTTTTTGCGACATTATGTGGAACAGTTTTAATGACTTTTGGACAAATATTTACTCCATATAAAAGTTTCTCGGTAATATTAATATTAAATAATGATTTTATATAATTTTTCGAAATATTAGTGTAAGAAGTACCATATGAATTAATCCAATTAGAAAATCTTTCAGCCACCTAAAAATAAAATATAAAAACATTCAAGAAATTTATATTTTACACATTGGGATCTCAAACAAATCAAAATTAAAACGAAATTTTAAAAAGTTACAGCTTCCATAATTTCTTCAGCTTGTTCATCTGCCGGTTTTTCATCTAAGTCTTGTTCTAATTTATATAATTTGGAATTCCATTTAATTCGTCTCATGTTCGATTTACATATGTAATCACTTAACCAATTGAAATCCTTTTTTCTTTCTTTTTTTTCTACGGTATCTTCAATTTTAAGATTTAATTGACTAAAATTTTGTTGAAGTTTTAATATAAATGAGCAGGTGCTTTCATTGAAACTTTTCTAAAATTAAAAAATTTTAAAAAATCATGTTTAGACTCGAAAAGAACTAAAATATTTTTCGAGATTTGATTAACTACACAAATCTCGAATCCCTTGTCATGTTATACAGAAAAATTTTATTTGCTGAAATTCATACTGGAAACTTTAACATTAAAATTGATTTTCACTCTGTTACCTCCGATTCGATTTCTTTTTCGCCCTCACCCCATTCCTTGTGCCCAATATATTTCTTATCTTCAATATTTAAGTTATCTGATTCAAAATAATAGCCGCTTTCTGGGGCCGGTAAATCTATAATCTTTGCAACACGCTTTTCTAAATCTTTCGGTAATGTTGACATAAAATCCCATTTCCTAACGCATTTCCTCTCTTTCTTAATTTCAATTTCATTTTTCCAAGCGTGTTTTCTTCTTTTCTTATTAATGAATATGATTTTATCACGAGGTAATGTTAAGGGTCTAACATTTTTCATATAATTCTTACAGCTCAAATGACATTTTTTAGAATTATAGTAGCCGGACATGTTTGAGCTTTTCGAAGTAAAATATTTTGAGAACCGGTTTTATTTATTAAAATGAAATTATAATTTCCAAATTTGATTATGTCTGTACTTCCCTATTTTTATATTGTAAATGAAAAAAAAATATTTTAAATAAAAAAATAAATTTAGTTTGGTCATTTTTCACAAAGCATTCTTAGATTCCCAATTTATAATTTTTTTCTAAAATTTTTATATTTTAAGACAAAATATTACCTAATTAGTTTTTTTACTTAATTGTTATAAAAAAGTTTTATTCTTCATAATAGAAACTTACAATATTAAATTTAAATTCAATTAAATTCACAAAAAATTTTTGTATACCAACCAAATGGTACGAATGTCACCTCACTTTCTTCACAAAAGCGATTTTCTGCGACGAAACGCCAAAATTTATATACATACGTAAATAATATACAACCCAATGTCAATCGATGACATGCAAAATACTGTACAGTAGATTTTCCGTTCCATTGTTGTTCGAGGTTAACAACGGAAATCGTTCGCCGTTGCCGTTTATCGCTTAAGTTATATTTTTACATGAAAGCTTCAAGCGTAATTGAAGCCTATTTGATGCCCATATAAACGTTACTTAACTTGAAGTCGGCTTCGCTCAAGTCAATGAAAAAAATTTTACTTACTCGACTTGAAATGTTTAAAATAAAGAAACGTCATTTTCGGGTTTTTAAGCTGACATAGTAAAAACACACTTCCAATTTCGAGGTATGTAATATCAAGTCAAGTACTCAAGTTACCATATAAAAGAAATAACTGATTCATAAATGTAATTCGATTATTCAGCGCGTTAGCGTAATTATACAGAAAGTTTTTATTAAATTTATTCAAGATAATTGTTCAGAACACAATAAAACAAAAGGCCAAATTCAAAATGTCGAGGATTTTTAAAAAAATATTCAAATAATAACGTAATAAATTTATCGAATTATAGTATAAACTCAACTTAGACTCAATCCATTAAAATGAAAATACCATTACAAAAATAATTTTTTCACGATATTATTAATCTTAATTAATCACCGAATACACAAACCATGTGCAAAATGTAAAATGGTTCTGTCCAAAAATAATTTAAATTACGTTGACAGCGACAATTCAAACTTCGTTAAGTTTCTTTTTGTTTTTTTTTACGAAAAAAGTTATTCAAGATTTACACCTTTTTGCGGTATTTTATTTCGAGTACAGTATTCAGAACAATATCCTTTTAGTTCAAATATTTCACATTTGTATTACCATGTTGATATTTGTTTTATTGATTTAATAAAATATAAATTTTGTAATTTTACAATTTTAAAGTGGTTTTCATAAAAACTAAATATTTTCTTTTTATTGAAAATACTATAAAATTTAATTCATATCAAAATGGATTGGCTAAATGCAATGTTAGATAATGCTCAACCTGGCAAAGAAGAAAAACCAAAATTATGGGGAAAAATTAGAGAAGCCAAACTGCCAAGTTTAACAAAAGAAGACCATTTAAAAATTACAATGGAAAAAATAAGAAAACTCAATATGTTACAAAAATTATCGAAACAGAAATCTGCACCAAAATTATGGACAAAAGTGCGTGAGAAAAAAGTACCAAGTTTAACTAAGGAACGTAAAGGTAAAGGATTTCATTGGCTCGATATGATATTAGATATGGAAAAAAATGCCATTGAAGAGGCTATGGGCAATCGCATTAAAGTTTATGATTTATCAAAAACACTACCAGAAAAATTACATAAACGTGTCGCTAGAGTAGTCCCAGTTATACCACGTGAAAAAGATCTCTTCGAAAGAGATTTAAAAGATGAAATTGTCGAAAAAGTTGAGAAACCGAAAGCTCCAAAATTTACTGACATAGTTAAAAAGAAGGTTATAATTTATATTAACAGTATATTGTAATAAGCGCAATGAAATAACTGTAATTTATTTACCTTATATTTTAGGCATTTCATGATTTACCAAAACCACCAGGTCTTGAGGACATTATAACAAAAATGCGGCTAATTCGTATTGAGCCAACTTTTGATGAAAAAAGATATGGTAGGAGAAAAATCAAAAATTGGCAAAGCGGTTATCTTGGAAAAACCCAAAGAGAAAGAGTAATTTGGAATACAAAGTTGTATGACTTGGAAACTAACATAATGGAAAAGTCCCTGTATGATCAAGCAGAGCATTTAATGGATGAAGTAATTATCATTTATATCTATTGAAAATTATATTTCTTGAAGTAACACAATAATTATTTTAAGACAGCAGAGAATTTTTGCTTATGGCTAAACACATTGGGTAGAGACCGGGAAAACGATATTACTAAGGAATATCTTAGATCTTTATTTTCAATTGAGGAGAATGAAAAACTTTTAAAATCAATTCAACAAGATCCAAAGAAACCAAAAACAATTAAAGATGCTCTTCAAGGTGCCAAATTGTTGAAAATTTCCGAAGTGAGTGAAAAAATTCGTAATTATCTAAGAAATAATTATGATAACTTGTTTTGTTTATTTTAGGTAGTTAAAATGCAAACTTCAGCAAAAGGATGGAAAAAAAAATCTGCACCACCTCAAGATATAAAAGTAGCATTTGGTAGAACATTACCAGCATATTTAAGACATTTTAAACAAGAAGATATCGAAGATTTAGTAATTGAACAAGCATTTCCATTAGAACTTCGAACAAGGCAAGTATTATTTGAAGGAATCGGGAATTTAAGATCAACTCAAGCTCTAATTAAATATTATTTAAAAAATCCTCATTTAAAACGTCCACAATATCTGGTTGATAATGGATTCTTCGAGAAAGCTGAAAAAGAAGCCTTAATTGAAGAAAAAGATATGGCACTCTATAAATTATTGGATGAAAAGAAACCAGCAATAAGAATAAGAAAATAAAATTGAACTGGTTCATGTGTAAGCCCATGTACTCAATTAAATTATGTATTCAATATCATTAAAAAAGTAATCGACAGTATGGTGTGAATTTCCAAATTAGATGCGTGTGTTGTAGACTAGGTATCCGTTTAAACAAAAAATAAAGGCAAATAAAGCGATTGGTGGTCGGGATAAATTAAGTTCATTAAATTTCTTAAAACAATTGGAAAATGCTTCATGAACTAAAATTAATTATTGAATACTTTTGTAATTTGTAAAATTGGAAAAATATCAACCAAAGTTCATTTAAATGAACTACAACTAAAATGAATAAGACTGCGTGTAATTAATAAGAATGACCCTATTTTTTTAAAATTAAATAATTGTGTGTGTATCAACTCATTATAAAACAGTAATTATACGGCTGAAACGAGTATGTAACTGCTATAGCTTTTAATTTTTTACTATTAAAATTTTATATTGTGTAAAAGCTGCCTTTGATTTATACAGTGACAACATTGCTAAACAATGCAAATATACAATATTAACAACATACGAGTACTAGATTTTATTAATCAATTCAAGAAAAAACCAGACAATTAAACTTTATTTAATTTGTTTCCATTATTATTTTATCCTTATTATAACTTCATTATGTGCGTTTATGTATCTAGATCTATATCTTTGTATAGCTCACCACTTAAAATACAATTCTCGCGACCATTTACATGATTTTGTTTAATTTTAAATTCTCATTAGAAAATAGAAAAGTTGGAAATGTCTATGCTAAATTCTTATATGTTTGTGTTTAGGTATGCAGTTGAACTGTGGCATGATGTAGTTATTGGTAATCGAAATGCAACACAAACGGTTACATAATTATATTGTTAATTAGTTTTTAACCATAGACAAAAATTATAAAGGCTTGAAGTTTCTTATTTTCAAGAACAGATTTAAATAATTATTATCAAAGGAACAATTGTTTAATTAGAAAAGATTTTTGGTGGTTTACGTAAAAAGAAAAACAATTTTATAGTTTATATAAATATGTAGATAACTACATACTTTTCCAAATGAAATAAAAAAAGTAATTGCAATTGAAGAATTAAAGGCAACATGAGAATTCTACAAAACGCGTATTACGGGGCAAAATGGCATATCAGTCAATAACGTACGCGGTAACTATAGAAAACATAGACAATTTTGCCCGAAACGTAAGAAACTCTGTATTTTTTGTATTGAACGTAAATAAGTCGTTCCATGTTTAAGGTATTCTATGTTTTTTACACAAAACGTAAATAACTCCTTATACTTTACCTCTTTTTATACAAAACGTAAATAATTCTGTATTCTTTATATTAAATGTAAACAACTCAGAATTTTTATATAAAACAAACATATTACATGTTTTTTACGCAAAATGTAAATAATTTTGTATTCTTTACATTAAATGTAAAGTAATTCGTATTTTTTATGTAAAACGCAGGTATTCAATGTTTTATACACAAAACGTAAATAAATCCTTATATTTTACTGTTTTTTACACAAAACGTAAAAAACTTTGTATTTTTTACATTAAATGTAAATAACTCAAAATTTTCATATAAAACGCAGGTATACCAGGTTTTTTTTACGTAAAACGTAAATTACTCTGTATTTTTTACATTAAACGTAAATAACTCATATTTTTTATGTTAAACTCATGTGATTCTATGTTTTTTTTTATAAAACGTAAAGTACTCTGTTTTTTTTACCTTAAACGTAAATAACTCGAAATTTTTATGTAAAATGTAGGTATTCCAGGTTTTTTACGTAAAACGTAAATTACTCTGTATTTTTTACGTTAAACGTAAATAATTTAGAATTTTCATAAAAAAAGGAGGTATTCCAGGTTTTTTACATAAAACGTAAATTACTCTGTATTTTTTACGTTAAACGTAAATTACTCTGTATTTTTTACGTTAAACATAAATAATTCAGAATTTTAATAAAAACCAGAGGTTTTTTACATAAAACGTAAATTTTTTACGTTAAACGTAAATAATTTAGAATTTTCACAAAAAATGGAGGTATTCCAGGTTTTTTACATCAAACGTAAATTACTCTGTATTTTTTACGTTAAACATAAATAACTCGAAAACTTTATGTAAAACGCAGGTATTTCATTACGTTTTGTGTTAAAAACGCAGGTAATTCCATGTTTTTTTTTACACAAAACGTAAATAAATCCTTATATTTTACATTAAACGTAAGTAACTCGAAATTTTTGTGTAAAAGGCAGGTGATTCTATGCTTTTTACATAAAACGTATATTACTCTACATTTTTTACATTAAACGTAAATAACTCGTATTTTTTATGTAAAACTCAGGTATTTTATACTTATATTTTACTGTTTTTTTTACAAAACTTAAAAAACTTTTTATTTTTTAACATTAAATGTAAATAGCTCAGAATTTTCAGATATTAAAAGCAGGTCTTCCATCTTTTTGACTTAAAACGTCAATAGCTCTGTATTTTTTACATTAGCTGTAAATAATTCGAAATTTTTATGTTAAACGAAGGTAATTCCATGTTTTTTGCAGCAAATCGAAAATAACTCTTTATATTTTACAACAAACGTAAACAATTCCTTATTTTTAGCAGTTTCCCAAAACCATTTAAAAAAAAAGTGCTTCACTTCGCCTTTTCTTCATGCGTGTTTTTCATTGGAATTTTGTGTTGAAAAGATTTCAAGTTCAATGAGAACAAGTTAATTTTTAAAATAAAATAAAATCAAATAAGTAGAAAACTTGAAAATTACATTTAATTTATTAAATAAATTGTAATTTATGTAGTACAAATAGAGAAAATGAATTGTTAAAACTGTCGAAATTAAACTTGATTTGCGTGTCACCATGTTCTTAATAAAATACAATCAGTGCAGCACAAAGTTTTAAATAATAAATGATTGTTATATTAAAAATTATATTATAAACGTTTCATAGAACTAGAAGAAAATAAAAGCCGAAAAATACAATCAATACTGTGTTTTTGCATAACAGAATTATAGAGAAAATTCAGTGTTGAAAATTGCAACTGATTTCTTTTAAATAACCTCCTCCTTAAGAAAGTTTTCTTCTTTATATAACCCATGCACACAATTCGATTTAAAATAGAAATTTTTGCTATCATAAATCTAAAACAAAATAAATTCGGATTGAACCAATATGGTTGTAAAATTGCACATTTCCTTAATGCAAATGCAAATATTTTTTTAATATTTTTGTTCTGACGATAATTCATTTATCAATGTTAATTACTAAGTATAAAAATTCGAGACTTTTAGTGGTTATACCGAATAGGAGAAAAATTATGTTAGCACTAAGAACGAATTTCAATACTTGCAAGTTGAATTTGAATGGTCATTTTGACATTGCGTGCATTGCTTTTAAGGAAAAAACGGTGTTGAGCGTTATTGAATGTAGTTGGTAAGTGAACCGTCAATTTTATGTTTCAGGAGTAAAAAATTAATTTATACAGTAATATGTTAATACGGGAAGCCCTCTACCGGATATTCGTATCTACACTCCGGTCATCTTCACTTTTATATACGTTATAGGCTGGTTGACTTTGGTTATACAGAAAATTATTGTAAGCAGAGGGATTTTCGAAATAACGTACATACAGATTGAATATAAAAAATAGTTTTTTCCAATTTTTATTTTATAAATGTGCTAAAAAAACCATTACAATAAAAAACACAAAATTAAAACAAAAAAAATATCTAATAACATATGCATTAAGTATTATCATCGAGACTACATAAAATTATACCTTATGTCCTTCTCTGTATATTAGATTCTTATATTATCCGAACACAAAATAACTATATCCGTATTCAATCCGTATATTATCGATACACACAATATTATATTGAATAATTTTGTTATGCACTGTTGGGCATAAAATTATTTCATGAATAATTTTATTTTGAGCCCCGACACACCATGACGTAGTCGAATAAATGTGAATGTCCTGTGTCAGTTCTAGAACAAAAAAAAAAGGATAAGAAAAATATGATTTTAACTGTAATCTCTTGTATGTATTTTATAAGAAAATGATTCTATTTTTATTCTGCTCCTTGTTTTGTAAATTCAGACATGTGGACTTTTATTTTGAAAGCATTCTAGCAATATTAGTAGATACAGATTTGTTTAAATTTTGGAGTGAGTGGAAAAGAAATTCGGAAAGTATTACAATTTTTAATTAATAAATTAATGAGAGAGTGTTAATATTAAAATTATTTTAGTAGTTCATTAATTCTGGTAGAAAAATACAAGATTTAGTTAAAATAGTTGTAATTTTGTTAAAAATTTATGACAGTGTGAAGTACAAATCTAATTTCAAATAATATTTTTTAAAAAATTACCTCAGAGTCAAAGGCGATATACATGCTTTTCTTAAAATAAAAATTCTAATATGAAAAATTGGTCAACTGTGTGATAAATTTGGTGCTAGTGGTGTCGAATATTAAATTATAATACCAATAACACCTACATAGTATAAAGTTTCCTCTAATCCTTTAAATTAGAAATATTCATAAATATGCTACACAGGTATATATGTATAAAATAACACAAACTAACATAAATATACATATATGTATAATATATATATATATACAATGTACATATATTTTTCCAATAAAATCCTTTGATCTTTTTAGGTAAATATTAATTTTGTTTTAAAAATTTTTTTAAAAATACAAAAATAACTTTTTAATATGCTTAATTACTTGTACCCATTCTAAAATATGGGCATATTACACAATCGTATGTATTTATATAAAACATATTAGTCCAATAATACCATTTTTAAAAAGTCATTTCATTTTTCTCTAAAAGTTCAAAATAATAAACGAACAAGGTGCATGGAAAATTGAAATTCGTATTTGAATATAAGAGCAATAGAATATTTAATTCAGTATTAATAAGATTTCCATGATATAGAGCACCTTGTATAACAATTTTGTTGAAACAT